CTTATGCCAGTAGCCCCTCTGAAGTCAATAGAACTACTTGCATGAGCAATACTTGTGTAAAAGTTGCGAGACTGGACCCTTCGCAGGACTACTTCTTACATGCAGTCGTTATACAACATGTTGATCAGTGGGAATGGAGTGCACTTAGCACCTTACTGGAGTGGACACTAACTGGCAAGTGCTGCTCTCCTGAAGTAAATACGAGTTTTGCTTATGACTTTGATGGGAAAAGAATATCTGTCTTTGTCAGTTTCCCTCTGCAGTGTGTGTATGGGTAAATCACTTCAGCGTTTTGCTGACAGCAGAGGAATATTGACTTAGGATTCCTGGGCTCAAATCCAGGTTCTGGTGGGAGTGTGATTGGTTAGATTCTTATTCCTTCCTCCCCCCATCCACACCTCCAAGCTTGTCTCTCACCCCTTCTACTCCTATCTCCCCCATCATAACTCCTGCCACCCTCTCCGGCTGTCCATCCCCCAACCAGCTTCTGTCTTTCTGCCTATACACCCTCTGCTTCTATTCTACCTTTCTTTCCCCATCCCTTTGAATTCCAGTGGGTCTGTTTCCTCCATCTTCTCCTGGACACTTCAGGGGGACCCATAGGAAGTACGGGGAAGACAGTTTCCCTACCCTGTGTTCCAGAGCCCCATACCACAGCAGCCAGGAAAGGCGATTGCAGGAAAAGGAGAACCCTCCGCAGCCCTGGGTGGAGCATGCTCAGTTGTTCATGCACAACACTATCCAGTCAGAAACAGGAGGTGTGAGGGATGGAGTACAGTCAGTACATATGGACTCTTCAGGGAATTTAGCTAAACACTAGCAAGTCTCTGTGCAGCATGTGCAAACTGAGACTTTTCAAAAACCTTACCACTCGGCCATATTTTCATGGGGATGATAAAAAGCACATTCCTGGGAGAATTTCTCTTTGAAATTTCAAGTCCCTGCACATGCATGGAGGTGCTGGAGCTTCTCAGTGAAACAGGCATAAGATTTTTTTTTTAACATGGGCAAAACCAATTCCCCCCACCCCCGCCCCCTAATCTCATTCATGGAAATGGCCTAACCATTTTAACTGAAACTTTAAAAAAAAAAAAAAAAAAAAAGGCAGCCTGAAACAGACACCTGACATGGAAAAGTTCAGTCCAAGCTGTTAAAGTTATAAGCAACTCAAAAGAAGGTCTTACAATGGAAAGTGCTAGGCCAACATTTCTCAAATGCGGCCACCGGGAGCTTTTCTTGTGGCCACAGCCTCCTGGGCAGTGACTTGGGGGGGGGGATGGGAGGAGGGAGAATGGGGTGGGGCAGGGAGAGAGCAGTGGACCCTCCCTCAGGGCCACCAGCAGGGAATGGACCCTGACCCCTTGTGGAGCCACAAACACCGGAGGAGCAGGCAGCCAGTGAGTTCCCACCTTTCCGGGGCAGTGAGGCTCCAGCTTTGGGCTTCAGCTCTGGGGTGGCGGGCGGCAGGCTTCAGTCAAGGAAGGGGCTTTGGGCTCCAGGTGCTGACCCTTGACTCACCACCACCCCCACATCACCACTGGCCCCTGCTGTCTCCCTACCCACTTCCCCATCCAGGGCTTACTTTGTCCCCTGGTTTGCCAGGGTTGAGTAAATCTGCTGTGAAAATTGATATTTGTATATTCGTTAATATCACTTTTCACAGCCTCCCAGCAAGCTAGTAAGTCTGCTGTGAAAAGTGATATTAACAAATATTACTTTTCACAGCAGCAGACTTACTAACTAGCAAGTCTTTTTAAAAAAGGCAACCAAAGAAGCAAAAGAAACAACAAAAAAACCAAGAATGTGCAAAGTACCTTGTTTGTGTTTCTGTTCTGTTTAGATCCAGTAAAGAATAGAGGCAACTGTACATTATTTTTATTATTGAGTTTGCAAAAAGAAAATCTACATAAATAAATTACGATGATTTGGACATGTATATTTGTTTTTCTTAAGTTAATTAAGTATTTTAGGAAAGAGTGTCACTCTGAGCCCACCAAAAAATTTGTTGTGAAAACCCCGGAGCTAGGCAACACTAAAGACAGCATGACCATCTCCAACTATAATACATACAATTTCCCTGTGCTGCTAACATTTTGCTGACATTTACCCCACTCTCATGAAATTGTGGAGGAAACACTGAGCTGTGATTCTTCATATCATCCCGGTTTGGAACAGTGTGTCTAGCTTGGCCCAAGTACACTCTTCATCCATTTTTAATCCTGTTCTCATTTTCTAATTATATTTCCCATATTCTTTTAATTAATAATTATTATAAGATGAATGTAATGCTGAGGTTCAAGCAAGCTGATTGGCTATTGTATAAATGACTTCTACTTACTAATTGAAACTGCCCCAGTCATTAAAAAAATCCATACACCTATTTCACACTCCCTTCCAACTTCATCCTAAAATAGCAAAATGATTCAAAACAGGGTATTTCCTTGGGATTAATGACTGGCCGAGATTAATGGGCTTCAGCTGTACTCCACAAGGACACAAATTTCTCCTACATAGAAATAAAAATCTTAACAACCTGTTTAAAAAAAAACCCTTTTAATTCTACTGTTATGATTTGGTTTTCACCTTGAGCATTTTGAAATGGATAATGGTATGCTGAGGCACAGGGGAAATTGTAGAGTCCATGAATCTCCTTGAAAATTAGAAATGGTTGCAAAATATGACAATTATATGTACTGCAATGCACATACATGTTACCAGTCAAGAACCAGACTCCATTGTGCTAAGCACTGTTCAGACCTATAATGAAAAGACTGTTTCTGCCCCCTAAAAATTTAGAATCTAAGTAATATGATCCCCGCCCCTCCATCTCTCTCTCTGGGCTTGACTATAGGAACACCTAGTTCACAGCACACTGGGAAGGAAATCTAACTCGCACTAGTCTGCCATGCACTAAGTATCTGTGTGGACCCTGCACGTTAAAAGTTTGGTAGTGTGCTTTGATCTGAACGGCTTTTGAAACATCTCAAGAGGATATAAATGGAGGAAAACAGGAATTTGGGAGGGGAGGGGTTAGGTTGTCATCTAGATTCTGATCTCTTACCTATTATGTCACTGGCAAAATTCCTATGGAGTTCAAAAGAAGCAGGAGGAGGCCTTTTAGAGAAAAAATGGAGCTTTAAAGAAAGATGGATAACTTGCATGCAAAATAATTAGTATGGCCTAGGGAACAGTTCCTTGTATTTGGAGAGTCTGATTATTGCTTCCTTGAGGTGCTTTCTCCTACCTACCCATTTTTCATAGTCCTACCTCAAATATACATATAATGTTATACAATCAATATATTTTTAAAAATCTGGAACTTTAATCAGTTTATTAAAAAAATAATCCTTGCTTGACACCAGAAATGTTCCCAGGCTGTTTCCATCTTTCTCCTGTAAGTTGATGTGGAAAGTGAAGTGAATAGGACCAGTATCAGTGTTTAATAATGACTCAAAAACATATGCCCTTGACATTCACAGCACTATAATGCTAATTACACACACACACAAATGGAAACAAAACTGCCCCACAGCACCAATAATTTAAGACTGAATTTGGGGTAAGAGATTCAGTTAAAGAGAGGGAAATGGAAAACACTAGCCTACATTTGCAAGAAAAGATTTAATGTTTCAGTTTTTGAAAGCCACAAACACACCCTTTGGGGTTTAGAAGAGGCAGAGGGTTTCGTCCTTAAAAGAATGAATTATAGTCGACATCCTTCGCTGCTAATCCTGAACCAGAAGTGTTCTTTCATTTCTTTGTTAATATACTTTGCAAAATAATTGTGTTTGAAGTAGGCCTACCAGTTGGGGGCTGTTAGCCTTACTTCCAAACATAGCTTCAAAGACATTCCTCCTCACTCTTGTTTTCGTGCATGTCCGCTGGGTTCATTTCCCTCCCTGCCCGAAAGTGATTCAGACTAGTGTCCATAGGGAAAAAAAAAAAAAAAGGGGGGGGGGGGGAATCGTCAAATCTGAACCAGACTGTGACAACCTCCCCCCCAGCATTCTTTAAAAAAACCACGATAGACGGTATCTTTTCAAGTGTGGTTTTGGTGGATTAGTTCTCACGAAATGAAATTTAGGGTTAACAAAAATCTAACTACTAGATTAGCAACTGCACAATCTACTTTTACGCATCACAGATGCTTGAGATCATAGGTGTAAATCGAGGTCACCTCCCACTCAAGCTATGAGCGGAGAGTTCCGGGTATGGGGTGTCTGGGTGGGGTGCAAGGGGAGATCTCGTCTGCACGGAGCTGTACTTTCTTATTTGCACGGTCTCTCAGCGGGGCTGGCAACTTTCCCCAGAGAAACCTTGTGAATTTAATGGTCCCGAAAGGGTTTTGTTTTGTGTCTGAACAGCTTGTTAAACAAATGAATCCGACCAAATTAAAAAGAGAGAAAGAAAACCCCTAGGTGGCGTAAATTGGAAAACGGGATTGATTTGGATTTCCAAACTGCTCAGGTTCAAATCGCCCCCGGGAGCAGATCTCTAGGGGCTGCCAGGCACAGCCGAGAAGAAAGGGAGCAGGGGACGCAGAGTGGGAGCGAGGGGTGAGCAGGGAGGCTGCCCAGGGTGGGGAAGGGGAGAAGAGCTAAAAGTTCCCAAAAACTTTATCGGGGGGAGAGGATCGTAGCGAACCAGGCGCAGGAGCCGACGGAGGGGGGGGGGGGGAGTTAATCTGCGTTAACATCCCTGCACGGCCGCCCCTTTCCCCACCACCACGGCCCTCGCAGGAGCCAGGCAAACAGGCTGGGGCGACTCTCCCCACAATTGGCTGGGGAGATCAGCGTGTGCCGGAGAGCAGGGCAGGGCCAAGCGGCTCGCCGCCTTTCCTTCCCCCGCTCCCTGGAGGAAGCCCTGGGCGTGACGTGCGTGGCTCGGAGGGGGGCCCCGGTGCAAGCTCCCCCGCCGCCCCCCCGCCTTCCCGAGACGAGGGGAGGGGAGGGGAGGAGTGAGCTGGGCAGAGCCGGGGAGCGGGGCTGGGCGCGCTCAGAGAGCCGGGGGACTGGCGGGAGCTGCTGCTGCCGCGGCCGCTGCTGCGCGTGGTGTCCGGGGAGGGCTCGGGGCAGGGGTCCAGCCTCCCGCCCGGCCCCGCTCCCCGCCGCGGGCTGCAGTTCACCAGCGCGGCTCCCCCTCTTGCCGGGCCGGTGTAGCGGGCGGCGGCGGCGGCGGCTCTGCCCCGGCCCCCATGGCTTCGGCCGGCAGCGGCATGGAGGAGGTGCGCGTGTCGGTGCTGACCCCGCTCAAGCTGGTGGGGCTGATGTGCATCTTCCTGTCGCTGTGCCTGGATCTGGGAGCCGTGCTGAGCCCGGCCTGGGTCACGGCCGACCACCAGTATTACCTGTCCCTGTGGGAGTCCTGCCGCAAGCCCGGCAACTTGGACAGCTGGCTCTGCGAGTCCACCCTGCACAGCGGTGAGCTACAGCGTCCCTGCCTTCCCGCTCCCCGGCAGCTCCCCGTCACGATCCCCCCTTCAGCCGCCCGTGCCCCCCCCCGGACCCAGCCAGCACCTCTACCCCAAGTCACTCCGACCTCGCCATCCCACCCTCCATCGACCCGTATCCAGCAACCCACCCTGCAGCCGTCCAGAATATCCACCCATACCCAGCTTTCCCACCCATTAGATCCTAGCCATTCCACTCCGCCACTCCGACCTAGCACCACATTGCAACCCCAGTCCTTCACCCTGCACTCTGTCCTCCTCTGCCTGCCTATCTGCCACCATTGTCTCCGAATCCCAGTCCCCCTCCACAGCCAGGCTGCATCCCAGTCTCCCTCTCTGCTGCCTGGCCTCCTCCGTGCTGCCTCCCAGTCCCAGCCCTCTCCTCCCTCTAGAGATGCGTCCCAGTCTCCCTTGTCTTCTCCTTTAGCGCTGCCTCCCAGGTTCCACTCGGCCATGCTGCATCACCGTCCTGCACCTCTCCTGCTCCCCATCCATCTCGCTAGTTCCAAATGGATAGAAAGTGATATCTGTGAATAATGCATATGTGCAGAGAGCTCCATGTACCACTCATGCCCTTTCTCTATTTTGTGGTCAGGGAGGCAGGAGCGGATTAAGAATGGGTAGTTTCTGTAAATCAGCTAGGTGGCTGCATTTGTCTTTGTTATGCCAAAAGGTCCTGAGTTTTGGTTAGTTCTGGTTTTTGACCGGTGGTGGTTGTTCACCAAAGAAGGAGCAATTCTTGGAGAACAAGGGTTATATCACTTCTCCCCTCCAAAGTGACCAGCAGGATCTGCCTGTAAAGTTGGGGCTTCCAGCCCAGTGATCTGCAGATCAGCCTAGGGTGACCAGATAGCAAGTGTGTAAAACCGGGCTGGGGGTGGGGGGTAATAGGCATCTATATAAGAAAAAAGCCCCAAATATTGGGACTGTCCCAATAAAATCAAGACATCTGATCACCCTAGATCAGCCTACAAGAAATAGTTTTGCTTTTTTTTTTTTTTTTTACTTTGTCCTGAGCAGACACCCTCTGGATTCTGTCATTCCTTTGCTCCTCTCTTCCCCCCTGGTTATGTGCTTCCCTTCTTAGAAAGTGTATGTCTTTTCCAGGAAAAAGAATGAGGAGTACTTGTGGCACCTTAGAGACTAACAAATTTATTTGAGCATAACCTTTCATGGGCTAAAACCCACTTCATCGGATGCATGCAGTGGAAAATACTGTAAGGAGAGTGATCAATTAAGGTGATCACTCTCTTATTGTGTGTATGGCAACACCCATTTTTTCATTTCCCGGTGTGTATATCTATCTATCTATCTTCCTACTGTATTTTCCACTGTATGCATCCGATGAAGTGGGTTTTAGCTCATGAAAGCTTATGCCCAAATACATTTGTTGTTCTCTAAGGTGCCACAAATACTCCTCGTTCTTTTTGCTGATACAGACTAACACGGCTACCACTCTGAAACCTTTTCCAGGAAAGCTACCTACCTGCAGGGCCGCGGACAGGAGAGGGGTAAAAGGGGCAGCAACGTTAATGCGCTGTCACTGCCCCTTTTGCCCCCCAAGGGCCACCAACGTGGGGGGGGCAAAGTGGAGAGCTGCCCTGGGGCTGGCGATTTAAAAGGGCCTGGGGCTCGGCCCTTTAAATCACCGCCAGAGATGGACTGGCGCGGACCGGGCAGTGTAGAAGGGCTGTCTGGGGGAGGCTGACCCCCAGCCCCACCCCTTCTGCCCGGAGCCAGGCCCCCATACCTGCAAGTCTTTTATTTTACTTTCACCCCTGCCTTTTGTCTCCTTTCATACTCCTTTCGCCCTATTATCACTTCTCTCGTTTTGGTTTCTTGGTGTTTCTTCAACTTTTTGTTCATGGATGGGGGGGAGCGGGGACACCTTTCCTACTTAAAAACTGCTTGGGATACTCAGAAACAGTCTGTGAATGAAACAAACAAGCTGCCTCTTAGATTTCACTCATTTAAAAAAAATCTGCTCTCTTATGGGTTTTTCTAGGCTTCATTGCAAAAACTTCTGGAGTCCCAATGGAAACATTTACAAGTTAAATCAAAACCTGCACAGAAAAAACTGCAAAAGCATCCATTTGGGTCAGTCTTTGCCCTCAGATTTTTGGTAACCATGCAGGGAAGAAATCATTATCTGTTTGCCTGGTTTTGCACTGTATGTTTTTAATGCATGGATTTCTTCTTTTCCTGGTTTCTTTGAAATCTTTTTGTAGTTCTCAGAACCAATCTAAGCTCTGCTTGAAAACAATATTACAGAATTCCCCTCGTTGGTTGTCTTAAATTATTTTATTCATTGTCAGTGTCTGGGGTAACATTTGGTGGGGTTTAGTGTTATTTGTTTTAGACTGTGTAATGCAAAAATTACTCTCAAAAATGTCATCTTGGTTCAGTTACCAGGGAATTTAAACAAACTTTGGAGGACAGCTTTCTTTTCTTTCTTCAGTATAAATGTAAATTTATGTAGGAATGTCAGCTTCAAAGTGTCTCCTTAGCAACGTGAATCCTTTGCCCCTTCTCTGTCTCTTGAAATAATATCCCCTTGATTGCATAAAGACTTTTCAGATGGCTTTATCTCCCCCTTTTCTTTCACTGTGTGTTTGCCCCTTCCGCACAAAAGAATGTGGAGAATTAAAAGAAGCTGGACAGTGCAAAGCAGCATTTGAGGGTTGTTAATCTGTCTCTAATTGCTTTGTCAGTCATCTACCTTTTCTATTTTTATGGAAGACAGAGGGAGGCAGGTGGGTGGAGAAAGGGGGATGGGTTAGGATGTCAAATGCAGTCTTGCTGGACACTGCATGTTAAAAATTAGGACAGATCTGCTGCCCTCGCCTGACCCTTTCTCCACCCCTTGCAAAAATTCTTGACTGTTCGATTCTATTCCAGTTCTTTGAAACAGCTTTGCTCATTTTCCTTTAAGGAGAGCCAGGTTTCACAAGCTACTGGGGAAGAAGTGAATGATTGTTTTATTTGAGGTGACTAGAACAAGACCTTTACTTTCCTCATGTTTGGCACATGATCCTATTCTCAAAGGGAACCTGAAATATGAGAAACTGAGCTGTTCTTTCTGCCTCGCTTCTCTTTAGAGCCAGATACAACTCATTAAAGTCAATGGAAAGGCTCCTGCTGAATTCAGTGAGAGTTAGATCAGACCCATATTCCATGACATATTCCATGACATATTCCATGTGTTCTTGCTTAATATTTGAAATGCAATTTCTTACTACACGAAGAATAGTAAGCAGTAGAGTTTGGAAACTTTTGTCATAACTAGACTTAGGGTTCCCAACTGCTATCAAAAGAGCAACTTTGTTGTGTTTATAGCAAGGAATTTACTGAGAGTGATTGCATGGGCTGTAGCTGAAAATAATCCCTTTTGCCTGTTTTCATCCATGCCAGTGCTTCCATCACTTGGCATACAGTATACATCTGTTCTTGAGGATTTTTTTTTAAATAATTTTAACCAAGCACCCCATGTCTTTCTTAGCATTGTTATACTTAGAGCTTTGTGAATACTTCCTAGTATTGCCAGCCCTATGTGTTCAAAAATCATGAGTCAGGCCAACAAAATCACGAGATTGGCTTAAAAAGTATGAGATTTTTACAAAGTGTAAATACATTTTAGGGTTCTTTGTATTTGCCTCCTGGCTTTGGAGTCTTTAGGGTTCACTTGGATGATGTTTTCAATTTTTTCTCAGCAATCCTGAGGGCTAGAACCTTAATTTAGTTTTCAAATGAAAGTTGATATTCTTACCTAATCACACATCTCCAGAAGCTGGGGCTTTAAGGAAAAGTCACAAAGTATCACAAGACTTGCAATACAATTGCAAGAGTTGGTTATGCCAATTTAGTATTTTAGGAGTTGTGCTGGAATACAAATTTTGTCTGGGGCAAAAACTTAACACGCAGAGTTTTGCCTATGTGCAAATATGCCTGTAATTTTTTTTTTTAAATTCATCCTTCTGATTTTTAAATATGTGGGACTAACACCAAGAATTTACAGGATTTGGATGCTTTCTTTGGCTTTATTTTTAAACAGACTCTTGCAGATTATTATTCTGATGTGGGTTAGGCTCTTCTTAAATTGTAATGTGTTTAAGGCAAAAGAAGTCCATGTTTAAATAGGGGTTATTGACCATGCACACTTAATTTTTCATGACTTTTCTATATAATTAAATGCATCTTATATAAAAATGGTATGGTATGTCTAAATAGCTTGTTCTGCAGAACCATGAGATACTTGGGTTTTTTGGTTTTTTGTTTAACAGTAGACCTTAGCCAATATAGTCTGTCAAATCAAAAATACATAAATATGAACTGATAAATAGATCAGTTCTGAAGGAACCATTTATAGCAGGTAAACATTGTGTATTTTGGTTTAAATATAGACACATGTATTTCATAGACCAAAATGGCTCGTTGGGGAGCATTATGGCTTATTGCATCAATAATGCACATAAAACTCTTTATGAATATAGTTAACAAGTGTAAAGCCTTTCTGGTTTATAGGGCACATATATATTCTTTTTAGTAAACTACTAAATACACATATTTGCCACATTTAATTTCCTTTAAGAAAATTATACTCTTTACAACTTTCCATGAAGGTTTAAAAGACAAAACAACCCCAAGGGAATAAATACAACAAGGTCTTTATAGATCTTTAAATTTAGTATTCAGAAGTCATTGAAGATAAGATGATAATCCATCCTTAACTTGGAACATAGTGCATATTAAAAATTATTTAACTGTAGATGTATGCTTAAAATCCTATTCTAATGTAGTAAGCTGTTCTTAAAAAAATAAAGTAGAACTGACCTTGTTTGGTGTCAGATCACTTGCATGAGTTTAACCTAAATTATACACTAGGTGAAAATTTCTGAACTAACATGGTCAATAGTCTTGGATGACACATGCATGCTTATTTTGAACCTGATCAATTGTTTCAAAGCAAAGTTG